CCCCTGAATGGGGATCCGTTCTCTTCTGGACAAATTTTGAAACATGAATTGAGTCAGCTTTGCCAGATACTCTAAATATATATGACTGGAGATATGTATACACCTAAAAGCTTAGGAGAGCACATTGCCAATCTGGTGTTCTCCAAACTAAAGTTGTCCGAAGTGGTAATCTCTTTTAGACTTATATAAAAATAGCAAATTTAATTGAGAATTTATTTATGTCATTTAATGTTCTGTAAGTGGATAAAGGTAACCTTTTATCAATAAGATATAAACTAGAGGGGCTGGAATTGTGGTAGACTGCTTGCCTGGCTCCTGAGAGGCCCTGGGTTCGATTCTCAGAACCACATAAAAATAAAGAATACAATTTGATGTTAAAAAAAGAAACAATAATATATATATATATATATATAAATTTTTGTCTTACACAGGAATGGAAATTTAAATGTACTTTTAAAGAAAAGGAGAGCCTGATTTGTTTAAAGGTTGACATTATAAAACATGGAAGCATTTTTCCACTCTTTCCACAAAAAGCAAGTTAGGAGCTCTCTTAGTTTCTGTTTGATTCATGTTTCAGATGTAATGTTGTATTGGGTCATTTGTCAAGATCCCCACCTTATCTGAGATAAGGCTCTGCCTCTCACCCTACCCCATGCTAGGCTGGCTCCAAAGCAGGCTGGACTTAAGCTCATTTAAAATTTCTGTTCAAAGGATAGGTTTTTGTTGTAAATATTACTGTGATCTCAAAATAATCAGGAGATATAATATATAACTAAGTAAAAGTTTAGGATAATAAACATTATGTTTCTTGAGCCTGGGGCTGGGGCTCAGCGGTAGCACACTTTCCTGGCATGTGTGAGGCACTGGGTTTAATTCTCAGCATCACATATAAATAAATAAGTAAAATAAAGATCTATTAACAATAAAAATTTTTTAAAAATCATGTTTCTTTGTTCATAGCTATTATACAAACTGAATGTTTTTGCTCTTGTTAATTTCATTTTGCATTTTCATTGTAAAATGTATAACTGTTGCCTGTTAATGTTTTGCAGAAACCCTGCTTCTAATAGAAGCCATCATGTATAGGACAGATACGATATAAAGCTGACTTTTAGTACTGATACTTAACCCTAATTAAACAAAAGGGGTTACCATAAAATTACAGACATTATGCGCTGGGCCTGTGGCTCAGTGGTAGAGCATTTGCCTCACATGCATGAGGCCCTGGGTTTGATCCTCAGCACCACATTAAAAAAAAAAAATAAAAATAAAAATACTGAGTCCATCTACAACTAAAAATATTTTTAAAAATTACAGACATTAAAGCATAACCAAAAATTCCCACTTTAAAGGCTGGTGAAACTGGCCTTCTGGATGTTTAAAACCTTGACCAAAGTCAAGGAAGTAAAAGGGCTAAGGAATAAAATAACCAATATAAAGCTGGAAAGTAATCTCAAACTAAAGCACCAACTGTTCCTAAAAAAAAAAGCAGCCAATATTCTGGTCCTTGGCCTCTAATGTCAACCAAACTCAGGGAATGACAGGACTTCTCTAAGGGCCCTGTAACTCTGGTGAGCCACCTGATCTCCCAGTCAAGGTGTTCAAGAGGACCCTAGACAACCAGTGCACGTTCTGTAAAGAGGGTCACTGAGAGGGAAATGTCCCTGATGCTTCCAAAGGAGGCCACATGTGCTTAGCAAGAGCCTGAGCCATCTTGACAGATGACACAACTGGTAGAGTAAAAGCCAAAGGGACCAGGCTTCTCAGAAGTTCCCAAGAGTGATCCTGTTAGTTGTTAGAATCTCAGCTGACTCTCACAGTAGATAGAAAAAAAGGTCAATTTTGACCAATTTGGTCTTAAACACCCAGTGGGAGTTTAAACACCAGTCTTAAAGTGAGAGTTATTGGTTATACTTTAATGTCTGTAATTTTAAAAATATTTTTTAGTTGTAGATGGACACAATATCTTTATTTTAATTAATTAATTATTATATTTTTTTTGTGGCGCTGAGGATCAAACCCAGGGCCTCACATGTGCGAGGCAAGTGCTCTACCACTGAGCCACACGTGGACACTTAAAAGAAAAGACATGGCTCTTTTACTTGAGATGTACATTTGTGTCAGTTCTTTACTTCCCAAAATAAGTAAAACTGGGAGGTTATAAAGGAAGGGGTTTTATATAGGAGTGCCTGATATATATCACAAAAAGCTCTGTCAGAGTCACAATTTTGTTCTGAGTCAATTAGAGACTCATCTGTGCTTTTTTTTTTTTTGGTATGACTATTATAAATTTCTGCTCAGACTCCCCTTCTGGAGTTTGTGATTCATCACTCTAGCCCAGCAACATGATTTAAATCCAGACCTGGAAAGAAGACAAATTCAGCCGAGCTGAAAAGGACCATACCAAGTGCTCCTTATCACCAGGATGGCTATCTGAACTGCTAAAAAGGGGAGAACTCATTACCATGGGAGATTTCCACCTCACAAAGTTAACATATCTAGGTTGGATGGCAATTCCAAAGGGTACAAGAACAAAAATGAAAATGAAACCAAAAGGTATACATAGAAAAAGGGGGGACTTGTGAGAAACAGAAAGTTCAGCGATCCATTTTCAAAATATACTACTTATCCTTAACTGGGAAGTAAGAGTCAATTGTAAACATTTTAACTAGAGCCCTTCCCTTTGCCTCCCCCAATTTTAAAATTAGCTACTCACATAGATTGTGACCCTGAGCTCCTTGCATCAGGCTAAGGGGCAGTGCTACCCATGTTTGGTAGCATGACTTCTGGCAGAGTAAAAGTAAATTCTACCTTGCCGTGCTACTTCCAAGTCTGCATTTGATATCTTACTGTATTTCTATCAAAAAGCAGCCTCTAATTTTGTTACACTTCACTAGCCTGGAAGCTCTCTTTACTCGATTTTTGTTGAGAAGTTTAGGAGGTTCCAGGTTTGATTGGCCAAATCATTGGACATTGGTGATTGAGTTCAACCTCCATCTCCCAACCCTCTAACCCTGTCTTGGTATTTCTGGCAACCAGCTCCCATCCTGAAGTTACAAGTCACCTCATTGAGGCGTGTGGGGGTTGGGGATGGGATGGGGGCCTGCAAAAGGACAGTCAGTGTAGGTAATGAATGATTGGGTCAGGAAGATGGGTGCTGATTCAAAGGAAATAAAATGCTAATACCTCCAGAACACTTCCCCCTCCTCTAACCTGTTGCCAAGGTTACCTGCCTGGGGGTGGGGAATTGTTCCTCCTAGCAAGGAGTTGTTAATGAATGCCCCCTGGGACTTCCTTCCTGCCTTCCAATGCCCCAGAGGGCTCCTTTCCCACCTTTTGGCCCACCTTTCATTCATAAAAGGAGAGGGGGACAGGAGAACAAAGGAAATCTGAAATTTATAAAAGGGGCAGGACACTTCCACTCCCTGGGGCACCAACTTGGACTCCCTGCTCTGTGGAGGAGCCTCTGATCCTTTCTCCCTCTCTGTTCTATCCTTTCAATAAAACCTTTATGCTCTTGCCTTGCCATTTCTTTGGTGTTCATCTTCAACACTGGGGAATGGGACTTGAACCTGGTTCTCGACACCAGTGTATCATCATTAGCATACAAAAGACACTCATCTCCGCGGGGCTCTTACAAGTTCTTGTGTCAGGAACTGGGGACTAAGTCCAAATATAGCAAAGGATGCTGCTATGGTTTGGGTCTGAAGTGTCCCCCAAAGGTTCGTATGTTGGAGGCTTGGTCCCCAAAGCAGTGATGTTCAGAGTGGGCTTTGAGCAGTATTGGGATCATGAGGGGGCTGACAGCATTATTGGGAGGTGGTGGAAACTTTAGGGGTGGGCCCTTTTTGGAGGAGGTGGGTCACTGGAGGTGTGCCCTTTATGCCTGTATCTTGTCCTCATCCCTTCCCTGCTGGCTTCTTGGCTGCTGTGAGGTGAGCAGCCTTCCTCCACCACCCAGCCATGATGTAGAGCCTCTTCACAGTCCCAGATACGATGCAGTCAGTCACTTATGGACTGAATCTTCTGAAACCTGAGCCAAAATACATCTTTCCTTCTTTAGGTTGTTTTTCTCAGGTGTTATGTCACAAGGATGGAAAACATAATCTTCTTTCATTCTTATCATCCAGGAAGTCACAAGAGCTTTAAAAGCTCTGTACAAGGGACCAGGGCAGAGACCAAATACATACATCTTATTATGTCACATGAACAAAACATCAACTTCCTGTGGGGCTGGAAAGACCGTTCAGGTATCACTGCACCAAAATATGGAAGGAGTCCCGGCCCCTGGCGGGCAGCTTTGTCATGCAAACAACATTCCACGTCCTGGTTTGTAAACCGCTTCACCATGCCTGGGAATAAGCCCTAGGGTTTGAGTAAGAAGTTTCTGAAGAGCCTCAACGCATGGAGCAAAGAAACAAAATATAGAGCTCAGGCCTTGGGACGACGGAGCCAACTCATAGGCCTCTCAAGAATTCATTACTGCCAAGGGAAATGTTTAAAATAAAAGTCTGAGCAAATTCCTGATGAAAGACCTGTCCTCTAATTCCACACAGGGATCATATGGCTCTCCATGTCCCTTCTAGGCCATACGGTTTGAGGTGAAGGAAAGATTCGAGTGCCATAGACTGAGGGACCTTTTGTTGACCTAACTAACTCCATTTTGCCTTCTGTGTTCGTTCTCTCTCTCTCTCTCTCTCTCTCTCTCTCTCTCTCTGAGTCACTCTTCCCTGCAGTCACCTTGGATTCCAGGAACAATAAGTCTGTTGGTTAAACATCTTGTGACAAAGAGCCGAAACTGCCCCCCAAGCGGCAGCAAGTTGCTGACAAGACTCTGCTTGGCCAATCCTGAGGTAATGATCAACCAGACCACAGCCTGGCCTAGAGCAACAGCTACCCAGGTCCGCCACCCTTACCTGTGTTCCTTTCCTGTGTAACCCCGGGACTACCATTAGCACCTTAGAGACAGATTTCTCTCTGTTCTTCCCAGTGCAGTCACACTGAGAATAAACTCCCTTCCTGCCTTCCCCACAGCCATCTCTTGGATAGGCCTTTGGGGCAGGTGGCCAGACCTGCACATTTGAGAGCCCTGCAGCTCAGCCTTTGGCCCAGTTCCGGTAACAAGACCTGCATTTGGGCAGTCAGCCCAACTGAGCCACTGGGCCTGGGTGTGGCACACAAGCTTTCCACCCGCTGGTGCAGAATCCCCGGCCAAGCGAAAGCTGCTGCTGGCATTTCATTCTGTCAACACACTCAAATGGACCCCGCTGGGAAGTGCATTTTGACAGAGTGCTGCCCCTACAGTTGTTAGCTTCTTCCACTTCACACTTGTGGAAAGCAGAGAGGCCTTCGAAGATGTCCTCCCTAGGAGCTATGAATATGTCACCCCACCTGGAGAAGGGGCCTCACAGATGAAGGATCCTGGTAGGGGGAGCTGATCCCCAATTGTCTGTGCGCACAATGGATTCACAAGGGTCCTCATGAGGTGAAGAGGGAGACAGGAGGGTCAGAGAGGAGCAGAGAGTTTGAAGGGAGGCCACTGTGGGCCCGGAAGACAAAGGAGCCATGAACTGCAGAGTACAGGCTCTCGATAAGCTGGAAAACGCTAAGAAATGGATTCCCTTTTAAAAGTTCTAGAAGGAACAGAACCCTGCAAACATATTGATTTTAGGACTTCTGACCGACCTCCAAACTATAAGGTAATAGACTATGTTGTTTTAAGCACTAGATTGTAAGTGATACAGCAGCCTCAGGAGACCAACACACCTGTTAGATTTGCATCATGCGTCCCAATTCTTTACCTGTCTGCTACAGTTTGGATCCTGAGTGTCCCCCCCAAGGTCCATGGCTACAGGTTTGCTTCCTGGGGTGATGCTGTTGGAAGGCGGTGGACCCTTTCGGAGGTAGGGAGGTCTTTAGGTCATTGGGGGCATGACCTTTGAAGGGTACAGTAGGACCCCAATTCTTCTTCCTTTCTTTTGCTTCCCAACCATGAAATGAATAGTTTCGACACGCACTTCTGCTGTGATGTGCTGCCTTGACATAGGACCAAAGGAATGGGGCCAAGGAACCATGAACTTGAAAACTGTAAGTCAAAATAAGCCACTTCTTTTTTTGAGTTATTTGGAATTATTCTCTTTATAAGTTATCAAGTGTTTGTTACAGGGATGGTTAGCATAAAAGGACCAAGCTGGGCTCACGCTTCAGGGATCAGCAAAAGTCTTTTTTCAGGAACAGAATGACGCTTCTGATGGACCCACTTTTCCGATGGAAAATGAGCCACTGGCCAAAGCGGGGATCTGGGCTTATATAGGTTATACTGAGAGGTTTGGGCACTGGGGAATTTGGGGTCTGTTTTACTGGGTGAGATGGGGGGGTCTGGGGTCAGTGATCAGTATCTGGAATTTATCTTTATTGGGTTAGATGGAGGGTCTTGGGTCAGTGGTCAGTATCTGGAAAAGGGTTTGTTTTGGGAAGGATCAATGCTTTGGTCTCTTCCCAGAGACAGTCATTCCAGACCTGATGGATATCTCCTCCCTGGAGCCTGTCTTATCATTGGAAAAAAATATATTGGAAAGGAATCAATGTATTGCCTTCTCTCTCATTTCCTTTCCCCAAGTCCCACTATTTTGGGGTTTGCCATTTTCCATATCCTATAGGGATAACACTTTCTCATATGCATGTCCTTTTCTGCTTGATTAATTCCTCGTGCAAATGGGGTGGAGTCTCCCTCTTGACTCTGGACTCTGGATTTGGCTGTGTGACTTTGGCCAATGGGACAAGCCAGAAGTGACAAGAGAGCAGTTTGAACCCAGAGACTGCCTGTTTCTGCTCTTGAGACTTTCTGTCACTGCCATAATGAGGACATGCTCAGGCTCACTGACTAATTGGAGGAGGAGGATGGACGGTGGAACAGAGCTGCCCAGTTACAGTTTCCCAGAAGGCAGCGGCCCCAGCCTGCTATATTTAACTGAGCCCAGCCCAAATCAGATAACCGCCTAATGACCCCTATTGAACCCGGAGCCAGAATGAGAAATGACTGTGCTTTAAGCCACTGAATCTGGGGTCAGTTTTGGTTACACAGCAGTAGTTATGTGACACATTGCTTTATGAGCTAATGGTAACAATTTGGAAGGCAATGCTCCAGGTGGTTTTTACACCATCTCCTTGTAAGACTTGCTGCTGCTGATGAATGGCCCGGCCATGACATTTTAGGCATTTCATTTATGGCTGGATGCAATCCTATAGTCTAATCATACACAGAAGACAGCAGTCAGACCCTTCTCCACTCACATTCCCCATCAAGCACACAAAGATACCAGTCTGCGGGACTCCTTTTATTAGCAGGTTTATTGCGATTATAAAATATAATAAGTTATATATACAGAAATAGATTAAGTGTCCACAATTAAGACTTCACTGGCTAAGGGCCACAGATCTAACCTGGGGTGCTCACTAAATGCTTTTACGTATTGCAAAATTGGACTGTTTCCAGACAAAATGGCAGGATGGAGAGTCCCAGCTTTGTCAATAAGAATCATTTTGGCCTCACTGATTATGAATTTCCTAGTGTAGGCAAAAATCTCTATGGAATAAACCTTTCTTGGATTTGTTTCCAAATAAGTAAATGACAAGGGAATGTGCAACCATATAAGGACCAGCTCCTGAAGAATGGCAGGTTGCGAGCCAATGGAGCATGCTCCATGTTCGCTGACCTCTGGCCTCCAATCCAACAGAGTGAAACGAGGCCAGCCTCCAACCACCCCAGAACAGCCTTCCCTAAGAACACTGTTTAAAGGAGGGTGTGAGCTGTTATCTTGGGCCTACTCTCTCATCACATGTGACATTTTCAGTCTAATTAAGGGTAGACTCTCATCATCATTATTGCAAAGCAGGGGGAAAGGGGCACCGCAGGATTTCGAAGAGGAATTAAAAGGATAATTAAGCTTTGCTGCGGAGTATTTAGCTTGCAGGATACACCAAATAGACTCAGAAAAAAACAGCAGCAAACAGACACAGTAAATGATGATATTAAATATTCAGGACCTAATTATGATCCTCTCACAGTATGTTCTACATTCAGCGGTGGGAAATTGCTTGTTGGCTTTAAACATACGACTGATTTCCCCCCAAAGCGTTTGTTCAGTCATGCGACTTATAATTTTAAAAGCATCGCTTTATAAGTCAGGGACTTTATTTTCATTTAGTAATCACCACAGTCAGACCTATCAGGAGGGGGTTCGGCAGCAAGTTCAACATTAACCCCCTGGTGTGATCACTACTCTGCCCGCCCCCCCCAGCTCTTGCCAACTGCAGGTGGAATTAGAGAATCTGCCAAGAACAATGCCAGTTTATTAACTTTATCTCTATAAATGTTGTGTCAAACAAGTGCAGTTACTGTGAAGATGCCAATTGTGAGCTTTTCTGTTTTTACTCCCCTTCTGCTTGATGACCCACACTTTATCTGCTCCCTGGAGTGCCTCCAGGGCCAGGCATTTCTTTCAGTGTTCCTTCCTTTTCTTCTCTTTCTTTCTTCATTTATTTTGACTGGGGATTGGACCCAGAGCACGGTACCACTGAGCCACCACCCCCCCTTTTGAGACAGAGTCTTGCTAGGGTGCTAAGACTAATCTCGAATTTGAGATCCTCTTGCCTCAGCCTCCCAAGTCAGTGGGAAGACAGGCGGGTACCACCACTCCTGGCTTTACTTTCTTTTTGCCCACTTTTCTTGACGACAGAATTAAAGGCCCAACCTCTCGTTTGTGAAAGTCAAACTGAAGCTGAGGATGGAGAAGAAAATGGCCCAGGACCCAGTCTCGGACTCTGCATTGCACCCCAGGCTCCACTGTCCCTGACTGGCTCAGAGAGCTGAGTCTGGAAACCCTCACAACACGACCTCACCTACACGTCTTGGACGCTCTTGCCATCTAGAACTATGTACGGCTGAACTCTCAGGATGTCTTCATGTACTTGAGCAGAGGTGACCACTCATATCTGTTTAAAGCAAAAATATTGCCTGACCACATCATGACTGAAGCTGCTTGCGTCCTTGAGTGTTGCTGCCCCCCGAGGATCATGCTGGCCTAAGGGTGAGAGTGGAAGGCCATTCATACATGATCTAGACTGCTCACTTCCTCGATCTCTGCAGTCAAGAACCACATGTCTGCTGACTGGACAGACACATGACTTGCATGCAACAGCAGGACAGAGTGAGTGCTTCCACTGGACAGCCGGTAGGAACGTGGGTGACCCTGAGGACAGCTCAGGTTATCCCAATGAAACCACACGGACACCAGCAGACTATGAGGGAACCTGCGCTTTGTAACCATTTGGCCACAATTTTTGAGCTGTTTTCTTCATGGATGCCCTCCTTCATCACCCCTGTGGGAAACCTCACTTCTTAGCATCTTTATTACATTTTCTCAGTATCCCTCTTTTAGCTCATTTGATCTCTTCTGGTGAAGTGGTGTGTAGACGTGTCTTCCATCTCCCACTGAGTGTAAGCTCCTTAAAGCAGGGTCAGATTCCTCACTTGTGTTGTCCCCACGTGGTTTGAGTACCCAACAGTGTCTGTTGAGTGAATTGATGGTAGGCTGGCTGGCTGGCCCCATCAACGAATAAATATTCATTCTGTCTGGTGAGGTCAAGTGGGGAGCTGGGAGCCTCCCAGCTTTAATCCTTTCTCTTCTGTTGGATTGGAAGACAGGCCTCGTTTCCCCTTGCTCCTCGGAGCAGCTGAAGGCATGCGGTGACACACCAGGAAAAGCCTGGATTGTGGCAGGCTGATGGCGCCACTCACAGCTGCAGAGACCTTGTTGGTTGCCTCGCTCATCCCAGGGAGGACAGTCCGAAGCATGCTCCTCAGGGTGCAGTGGGGGCTGGGGAGGTGGGTGGCACCGCCCCGGCCCACTCCAGTATGTCTGCACACAAGGACTCCACAGCATCCAGCCGCTCAATCTGCACCAGTTTTGTGAGCAGCTCTGGGATGCTGTAGCCCGCCGTGCTGATGCGGTCGAAGAGCTGCATGCCATCTGTCATGCCCCCAATCTCGTCCCTCTTCAGCCCAAAGCTCTCAGCAAGGTGGCGCCAGGTTTTCACAACCGCCTTCTCAGAGTTGTATGTGGAGCTGAGCATTCGGCTTGTCTTCTCGAGGCAATCAAACGGCAGCTCTGTGGGGCTGAGACCTAGGAGAGCAACAGCTACAGTCAGACTTCACAACGCACAGCTACCCAGAGGCTCAACACCACTCAAGATCACTTTGAAAAAAAAATTCTACCAGATGCTTAAATGAGAATTAACACCGATTCTGCACAATCTCTTCCCCAAAACAGAAAAGAAATATTTCCCAACTTGATATCTAAACTAGACCAAGACAGTGCAATGAATTGCATGAATAAAAATACAAAATCCTTAACAAGATATTATCAAATAGAATTCAACAATGCAACAGTGCATTATATGCCATGATAAGTCACATTTATTCTAGGGATACAAGGCCGGTTTAATATTAAAAAATAGTGTAATCCATTCACAAAATTAACGTAAACCATGTAGAAAAAGTCTAGAGCTACATTATACTGAATGGTTGAAAAATGGTATGCTTTTTCCTTTGAGATCAGGATCAAGGCAAGATTTCTGCTCTCACCACTCTTATTTGACATGGTGTTAGAAGTTATAGCCAGAGCAATAAGGCAAGAAAAGGGAAGCAAAGGAATCTAAAAAAAAATCCCAAGAAATCTAAAAGAAAAATTCCATATCTTATAAGTGAATTCAGCAATGTCACAGGATACAAGAGAAATATATAAAGATCCATTTTATTTCTATATACTAGCAATGTATAAAAAATGCATTAAATATACATCTAAAAACATGTTTAGAATGTTCTGACAACCTTGCAATGCTGATGAAAGAAATCAAAGATGATCTAAATGAATTAACAGATATACATTTTTATGGATCAAAAGACAACAAAATAAAGTATTGAATATTTCCAGCAGGTTTGCTATATGTACAGGCTTGATTCAATTGCTATCAAAAGTCCAGCCAGTAATCCCAGCAACCTGGGAGGCTGATGTAGGAAGATTGCAAGTTCAAAGCCAGCCTCAGCAAATTAGTGAGACCCTGTCTCAAAAAAAGTAAAAGGTGAGTGGAGGGGTGAGGGGAAGGTGGGTGCTGGAGATGTAGCTCAGTGGTTAAGCACCCCTGCGTTCAATCCCCAGTTACAAACAAACAAGCAAAATCCAAACTAGAAATTTTTAAAAAGTTTTTTTTTTGAAAGTTGTAAATGAGCAAAATACCTTTATTTTTATTTACTTATTTTTATGTGGTGCTGAGGATCAAACTCAGGGCCTCACACATGCTAGGCAAGTGCTCTACCACTGAGCCACAACCACAGCCCCCAAGCTAGACATTTTTTTAAAAAATATCTTTTTAGTTGTAGATGGACACAATATCTTTATTTATTTACTTATTCTTATGAGATGCTGAGGATCGAACCCAGCGCCTCACATGTGCTAGGTGAATGCTCTACCACTGAGCTACAATCCCAGCCTCCCAAGCTGGATGTTTTGTATGGAGAGGGAAGATGATCCTAAAACTTGTGTGAAAAGAATAAGGAACTAGAATTAATAAAGGAATCTTGAGGAAAACAAAAAGAATAAAATGGGATCGATCTGATTTCAAGACAGATGTCTTTATGAAACATATACAGGGATCAGGGCTGTGTCGTGTTGTCAGCAGGGCAGATTCACAGAACAATGCAACAAGAGAATCTAGAAAACAGACCTACACAAATATGCTAAACTGATTTTTTGACAAAGGTACAAAAGCAATTCAATACAGGAAAGATAGCCTTATAGCAAATGGTCCTGGAGCAACTGGCATCAATAGGCAGATCAACCAACTAAAAAACAAAACAAACCAAAGCAAACAAGTCCACTAAAGTTCCACATCTTTTTTTTAAAGAGTTTTAATATTTATTTTAGTTTTCGGTGGACACAATATCTTTGTTTGCATGTGGTGCTGAGGATCGAACCCGGGCCGCACGCATGCCAGGCACGCGCGCTACGCTTGAGCCACATCCTCAGCCCCTCCACATCTTATTAAAATTAAACTGATCAACTGATCATGAACTTAAAGGCACAACATAAAAACTATGATGCTTTTAAAATAAATATACACGGGAAGATCTTGGGAATCTAGAGCTAGGCAAAAAGATCTTCACCTTGACAACACAAGTCCAATCCATAAAAGGAAAACCTGATAATGAATTTGATAAATTTGACTCCTAGAAATTTAAAACTTGCCCCCTGAAGAACCCTGTTAAGAAAGTGAAAAGACAAGCTAAACTAGCTACAAAAGGAGAAAATATTTGCAAACAACAGAAGCCTGGTATCCAGAATATATAAAGAACCCTCAAAACTAAGCAGCAGAAATAATCACCCAATTGGGCAAAGGTCATGAAGAAACTTCCTACTAAAAGGTGTCTTTTAACAGATGGATGGTAAATAAGCATAAGAAAAGATGTTCAAACATCAGGGAAACAAAACCCAAGGAGATACCACAACATACTATCAGAATGGTTAAAATAAACTCTTGAGGATATGGAGAAACTGCTAGTGAGAATGGGAAACCATTCAGCCACTTTGGAAAAGAGTTTGGCAGTTTTTAAAAGCACTAAACATGAAACTAGTGAATGACCTTACAATTGCACTCCTGTGCATTTATCCCAGAGAAACGATGATGCCTTGTGTTCTTGCAAAGCCTGTGCTCAAATGTTTTAGCACCTTTATTCATAACAGCCCCTACCTGGAATAAACCCAGGTGTCTTTTAACAAGCAAAGGGTTAAACCAACTGTGGTCTATCTGTATCATGGAACACTACTCAGCCATAGAAAGGAACTGTTGACACATTCAACAACCTGAATGAATCTCCATCAAGTTATGATCCACATGAACAGCCAATCACATGACTCCATTTTAAAAACATTCTTAAAATGACAAAACTATAGCAATGGGAAACAGGTTAGTGGTTGCCAGGGGCTAAGGCAGTGACGGGGTGAGTGGGAAATGGAACAGAAGGGGTCCCTGTAGTGATTGAAAGGGTCTCTTATCTTCACTGTGATCATTCTCTATATCCTGGTTGTGACTTTTATGTGACATTTTATGTCAACATTAGGAGAACCTGTGTAAAGAGGACACAGGACCTCACTGTCTCTTACCACTGCACGGCAGGAGTTATCTCGCAATAAAAAATTTAATTGAAAAACAGAACCCCCCAAAAACCATGATGCCCAGGTCTCTCTCCAGATTAGTTACATCAGGCTCCTGGGGCAGAGGGGATGGGCTGGGTAGGCAGAGATGGTGTTAAGAGGTACAGGTGATCCCAGCATTCCGCAGGGCTGGGCCCTGCTGCTCCGAGGGTCTCGGCCTTGGCTGTGTGTCAGCACCTCTGTGGGACTATGAGGCACTTGTGCCTGAGCTACCAGCTGGGTGGCCAAGGGCACAGGGCTTCAAGTTTTCACCCTGCCAGGGCTCCACTTATGTTCAAGTTTTCTAAAATCAGCTTGAAAACCAGTGTCCCAGGGGTATGGACTCTTGAAGCCAAGATATTCTTTGGACTAGCGAAGAGCTTTCAGGGCGCTGGAACACAAGTCCCAGAGCATCTTCTCGTGGGCAGCCGGCAGCCCCTGGCCACACCAGGCTTGATCGGGCAGGCTCGCTGGGCATGTCTTTATGGAGAGACACCACATTTTGGAAGGCAGCCAAGAAGACTTCTTGGCCCTGGAACTCACGCTCCGCAGCTATGTCTGGCCAAGGGAGCTCCTACAGCCTGTCGAGGTTCAGTGGGCTGCACCCAGGAGCCATCCACCCTGCACCTGGCTTTGCTCGTTCTGCTGGACTGAGGTGTGTGAGGTGGTGTGTGGGTGTGGGTGTGCCAGCGAGGAAGCAGGGAAAACCCCTGCCCTCAGCTGTGAGGGGTTTAACTTTGGGGTGAACAGAAGGTAACAAAGGGACTGGATTCTGCAGCCATTGGATTACAATTTCAGACTGCAGTGTTTTTGTTGCTTCTTACCCGCCCACACCAGGTATGCCTCGGGTTACCACAAAGCAGTCTGAATTTGCTTCTTAGGAGGCAGCTTGGGAACAGAGGTGGGAGGCCCTGGAAGGCCATTATACTTTGTGAACCTCAGGAGGGAAGGGAAAGGACTGCTAGGTACAGCCCTGTGCTGCATGATGATGTTTCCATCAAGGACAGACTGCAAATACCATGGTGCTCCCGTAAGATCGTATGACATTATAGTGATACCGTAGTCATCTGGTTGGTGTGGAGACCCACTGGTGTTCATGCAAGAACAAAATCGTCTGTGCATTTCTCAGAGTGTGTCCCACTGTTTGTCACCACTGACTGCACTGGATAAATAACTGATGGTGATATTTCCCAGCTGATGATGCCCATGGACTTGGCATTGTAGCTACATGTTCCTCACCCCACTTGTCAGTGCCCTGAGCACACACCTGGGGCTGTCTCCTCTCCTGTGAGGGGAAAGGCCACGGGAAATGCCAGGGAGATGCCTCAGACTAGCTGAAGCCAAATTCCTTTACCCTCTACACCCGAAGTCAGTGCAGGTGGCTATTCTGAGTGGAGAGTGACAAGTCAGGTAGGCGACTTTCCTTAGTACCCCTTCCCACAATTGATGTCAGGGCAGGTCAGTGGGGATCACTTCAGGCAAGTGTCCTCTGGGCAACTTTTTCACACTTACCTTCGACGACACCGCACACATTGGCATACACATCCAATATTTTTTTCCTTCTGCTTTGGATCTACAAAAAAGAAAGAAAGAAAGTTAAGATAATGTAATGATGCAGAAAGGGACACAATAGTAGCGAAGAACCAAGTCTCCTATCTTAGTACTGGCAGTAGGGGCTTTGCCCTGATAGCTGAACCAATCCTTCAGGCAAAAAACAGTCCGAACATAGCAGGAAGAAGGATTTCCTTAGGTTTTCCACAGAAACACCTTTGGTGCACACCAGGGGCGCTTCTTAGGTTAACTAAACACCTGCCGTCGCTGTGTTTGAAAGCATGGTGGTGGGGATCCCCGGTTGGCCAGCATTCAGCAGCCAGCAGAGCTATGGGGGACTCTCTTTCCTGGAGCAGATAGCTCTTTGCAAGGAAAGGTGCTGAGAGGCCCTGGCTGAAAAGTCCTGTGGCCATAGCCATTCAACTCTTGTAGCAACCCTATAGGCCTCTAGGTCTCTGCAAATGGTGGCCCTTTAAGAAAGGTCGCTGAACACAGGGCAGCCCAGAACAGGGTGTCCCAGCAGGACCAGGCCAGACCAGGATCCCAGTAGGACATTTCACCAACAGGGACGTTGCCAGGCAACAGAGCTGCCTGGAAGCATCGACTAAACATAGCATGTGCCCCCAAACATCACTTCAGGGTGGTTGGCTTTAGGTGGTAAAGCCCTGTGGACAATTTGTACTACTTATATATGAAAGATACAAGAAATATCTTTTTTTTAAATCTATGATCTATCATCATCATCATCATCATCATCATCATCATCACCTAATAAATCATTCTATACTTCCTGGATACTGAAATCTGCGGATGCTCAGGTCTCCTATATAAAATGGTGTAGTATTTGCATAGAGCCTATGCACACCCTGCTACCTACTGTGTCACTTTTAGATAATGTAATAACTAATACGAGGCAAATGCTGTGTCAGTAGTTGTTATACTATATTGTTCTAGAAACCCCGATGTGGAAAACCATCTGTACGTGTTTAGTACAGACCCAGTTATTGTTTGTTTGTTTGTTTGTTTTACTATTTCATAATGTGGTTGGTTGAATCTGTGAATGCAGAATCTGCAGATAAAAGGACTGACTGTGACATGCACGTTTTGTATATGTGTACGTGGCGGATACATACCTGTCCGTTTACAAAGGTGTTTTTTTTTTTTTTTTCTCTCTCTGGACTCTGGCTAAGTGATTTTAAATATTTTCTACAGCTTATTTCCCTTTTCATCTATGAAACCATATAATGAAAGGAAAAAGTTGTCTATTCATGGCTGTCTTGTCAACCTGTCACTCTGTCCAGTACCCTCGCTTGGACACCGTCTCACAGGAACGTATGCGATAGGAAAGTCTTGGCTGGTGGCGAGAGGCCACTGCACGGTTCGTGGTGGGTGTGGGCAGAGTGCCATAGGTCAGAGCCTCACCCCAGCTGACTTGTTGTAGGTGGCAGACTTCTCCCTGGCCAGGTGCACCAGCGACAGCAGACACAGCTCCGGGGAGCCCTGCTTGTCGGGGGCTGGCTCCTCGTCACTCTCCACGCTCCGGCCCAGCAGCTGTTCCTTCTCAGAGGAGGCGTCGCTCTCACTGGGGAACCAGAGGGGCGCTTGTTAATAGTGGGGGGGGGGCCACAGCCCTGGCAGTCTCCCGCAGTGCCCTGTGGCCCAGGTGTGGACAGTCGGGTGCCGGGAGGTGCTCCTCCTGCATTTATGATGCATCTGCGGCCTCCAGGTGAGGAGACCTGAGACGGGAAACTCACACCTGGGTTCCCTGATCTTTTCCAGGGGAGCAAGTCCCACGTGGAGAGACCTGCAGGTGTCTGGGGGGCGGCAGGGAGTCCACGCAGGTGCAGCGGGAGCCCCCAGGGGCCATGGGCTGCCATCGAGGGTCAACCACAGTATGAAATAGTAATAAAAAAAGATTGGTCTTCAGGCCCTCTGACACACAGTGGATGCCCAAAACGTTTTCACTGAATTTGTTCTAGATTCCTGTCTTTCATCTCAATAAGCACCGAGCTCAACCTTGCGTCTTCATGTTAAGCAGACAAGATCATGTGGCTGCCACTGAATCCGTGCAGGTCTTCAAGAAACACTGGAAACAAAGCGAGTGGGGCCCCGTGCCTGGGAAGCCCCCTCTTGGCTAGTGAGGCTTCCTCGCTGGCTGTGTGCCCTGGAGGGTGGGCAGATTGGGTGGTCATATGAGACAGGCCTGGGCTCATGCCACGTTACTGTTCTTTGCCCAGGCCACACAGGACCCAGTGCTGGTACTGGCAATCCAAATATATGAAAAACAATATTCTTTTTTTGTAGGCTTCCTTTTTTACTTCCTGTGGTTTGGCCGAAACCTTTTTTTTTTTTTTTCCTTTAAAAAGGATTGTATTTGCCAGTAACTGGGTTATAGCCATGAAGCCCATATGCAAACACAACCTCAGAGCCAGGATAATACAAATAAAATAAAAACAATGATGAAGGCCCTGCAGGCCTGCTTCCTCATTAGACTCGGGGGCCTTACTGGCATTGGCTGGCTCATTCCTGTCTCCACCTGGGACCAAGCCAGAGGGAGAGGCCACTTCCCCCTAGACCCCCATGAGGTCTAGTCACTAAGCCCCATGAGTGGTGGGCAGGGACCAAAGCTCAGGGCCTTGTTGTCTATTTTATAGTTTTCAGTTTTGATTTTTATTTAATATTTTTATATATGAGATAGTATGTGTTTTTTTCCAAGTAGGGTCCTCCAATTTCCCCCATATTGGGGTGAAACTCAAGTCACAGGACTTGCCTCTGTCTTTTTGACTACTTCTTTTTTTCTACTTTTGGGAACAAGAAATCTTGGAAGAACCCAAGGGGAGAGCTGAGACAAAACAGGACAACGCTGATGGGGGCGAGAGAAGTGGTTCCACTCGGGACCCAGTGTGGAGGGGCTGGGCCTGGGGCTGTGCCACCAGGTGGCCAGAGCCTGCCCCAGCTCCACATACCTCTTGGTGGTCTTTGCCGGAGTCGCTGTCAGCTTCTCAAATTCATCCTTCTCGGAGAAAATCACCACGTCGTCTGCAGGGAAAGAGGAGTCGGGGGGAGGGGGATTAGCAAATGCCCCCGGTTCTCAGCCTGGCTCCCCCTGCTCCTCCTCTTTGCAGAACTGCCTCGTGACCACGATGCTGCCAGGGTGAGACCGTCTGGGCGCACCTCCTGTCCGGAGAGGCACGAGAGCAGGGGCAGCCAGCCGGGAAGCTGGGAGGAGGGTGGACGCTGTCCACTGTAGTGCTGGACACCACGTGTGCGCTGGCACGCCAACTGTGTACACAGACCTGGGGCCTCCTTCTGCTCCTCCTCCTTGCTCACTGGGGCTTCCATGCTCTTCCCTGGGGGGCTGGTGCAGCAGGCTGGTTGGAGAGACAGGAGGGAGGGAGTGAGCAGCCAGGTTCCCCCACTGGCAAGGTGACAGAGTATCCCAGAGGGACGGGGAGGGACACAGGGCGGTCACCTGGGGCTGAAGGCTTCGTCTTCATGATGTAGAACATGATAATGAGGACGATGGCGATGGCCATGATGAAGATGGTGGACATGGCAATGATCAGGGCGGTGGCCAGGTGTCCTTGGCCCGAAAGCTCTGCTGGCATCAGGAGAGAGCAACATGAATGTCCCTGCAGGCTCTACTCCAGGCCTGTAGCCCTGACAGAATGACTCTACCACTGGGAGGCTTCCAGGACAGAGTCAGAGAGCTCAGCCCTCCAAGTGCGCTTTGGCCACCAGGTTAGGACGGCCCAGCTGTTCCCCTTGCTGCTCTCAAAGAGGATGATCCAGACTGGGTGGGGCAGGGTGCAGGTTTGCCTGGTTATTCCTGGGGTGCTTGCTCTTGGTTCTACTACTCTGGGAACCTGAGGGGAAGGTGGGGAAGAAGAGAAGCCCACCAACAAGAGTGTCTCAATGATGGCAAAAATCCATGTTTGGGTATTTCCAAGCAAAATTGAGGATTCAAGAGTCCACGTCTTGGGCTAGAGGTTGGATTCTGGCTTGGCCTCACACAATTTCAACCTCGGTGTAATAAGAGTCCCAGAGTAAAGGAGGGGCCTGGGCTGACCTGCTGTCTCTTACTGATGGAGGGGGGGTTTACTCATTTTCCCTGATTAATGTAGTCTTGGACCTATGGAATGATTTTTCTAATTCTCTAAAATAACCAAACAGGACCCTGCTTGTGAAGCAGCACCCAGGTGATCCACCACCCAAATAGGCAAGGGACAAGAATGTAAAGGTCCTGAGTCATTTGAGAGAGTCACCAAAGCTGAGAGCCTTGTGTGGGCTCTGAGCCTCTGGTGTCATCCTGGGTGCACCTGCAACATCCCTGGGTGCCAGCTATGAACTTCCCCTTGAGTCCTGGTGGAAGCGAGATGCTAAGTCCTAGTGGAGTTTCCCCGCCTCACGCTCTGATTGGTATGTAGGCAGCTGCACCATGATGCTCTGTGGGCTCTTGAAGGGGCCCAAGCCTCACAGAGACCATCTGTCAATATGCTCAAATAATGAACAGCATTAAAACCCAGGAGAGAGAAAGTCTGAGCCAGCTTGAGGGCTTGCTCTGGGAGAAATATTAGACTTCGCTGGGTGCAGGGGTTAGGGAGAATAACATCTACTTGTTGAAAATTAGAATTAAGATGTGAAGGTTGCTGGGGTTGTGGCTCAGTGGCAGAGTGGCTTGCCTAGCGCATGTGAGGCCCTGGGTTCGGTCCTCAGCACCACATAAAAATAAATAAATAAAATAAAGGCATTGTGTCTATCTACAACTAAAAATTATTTTTTTTTTTTTTAAAAAAAGATGTGAAGGTTGTCTGGTTTATATAAAACCTAGGAAGAGAATTGCTGTCAATTTCCGGCCAAACCAAAGCATAAGAGGCATCATTGTTCCTGCTCAGGGCTGTCTGAGCACCTCACCTGCTGCCCTGCCCAGCTGCCTTTACTGCCAGCACTTTCTAAAGGTTCAGGACACCGGTGGAGCAATCAATTTGACTCCTTGCAGAGATAATTACTAACTTCCAGCAACTGAGGGCTCCCAGTGTGATTCAGTCACATTAGGGAAGTGACTTCAGGTGTGGAAGCCACCATTATCACTACTGCACAATTTCTTCTCTTCCTCTTAACTTTAGTCGAGTCCCCTTAATTCCAGAAGATCACGCCTGGGCGCTCCTTACCTTTATGGGCATGTTGGAAGGGGGACAGGGTGCTGCCGCCAGAGGTACTGGGGGAGTTGGCAGAAACCCCCAAAGTGGCTCCCACACCTGCAAGGAGAACACAGTTACCTCAGGTGATCTGGTAAAGCACCACCTTCAAAGATTGAAAAATAACACACTTGGCAATAAAGTGAATGGATCTGGAATTCTACACCATGAATGGGCTTCAGGAGCGGGGGGGGGGGCAGGGGAGGCAAAATTTTTATTTCTTAGTGTGTTTAATGATCCTTAAAGAGTATTGGGACCTCTCAGGATTTTTGTTCTTTAAATAAAAAGACACATGTAGCAGGGTGTGATGGTGCACTCCTGTAATCCCAGTGGCTCAGGAGGCCGAGGCAGGAGGATTGCAATTTAGTGAGGCTGTAAGCAAACTAGTGAAACCCTGTCTCAAAATAAAAAGAGGACTGGGAATGTGGCTCAGTGGTTAAGTGCCCGTGGGTTCAGTCCCTACGCAACTCTGATAAAACTAAACAGTGGGCAGGTGTTGGGAGGTTGGGCAGCTTCACCGACTCAGTTTTCCTGTGAGCTGAGACAGTGCGTGGTGCAGACCATCAGCAGGAGGGAAGCATGTGTATTAAAGCATTATTAGGGTGAAACAATACTTGATTAATTTTTTTAATTACAAAGAGCAGGAATGTGTTCTTACTACCTTTTCTCGTCACTAAAGTAATATGTGCTCATGATTAAAAATCTGGAAAAAATAAGACCATGAGAAAGAAGTAAAAGAACCACCCGTGGCTTCACTGTCTAATGAAGACTTTGGCGTATTTCCCTTTAGAATTTTTCCAGGGACAAAATTTTAAAATAGTTCTGAATAAAGCATTCAAAAACAGAAACATTCTTCAGGGAGGGTCTTTGCCTTCTCCCTCAAACCTATGATTCCCGAAAACCCCTCTCTGGAAAAAGTGTCACTAAGTGGATCAGGACGGAAGGTGCTTTTACTATCAGACAAATCACAAAGGGACAAGTGTTATCTCAGTGGCCACAGGAGAGGGGGCCACACATTTCTCAGTCCTTATTCCATGTAGGACAAAGAGGAAATTCAGCAAATAAAACAGGGTAGAGCCGTGCATGGTGGTGCACGCCAGCAATACCAGCATCTTGGGAGGCGGAGGCAGGAGGATTGCAAGTCCAAGATCAGCCTCAGCAACTTAGTAAGACCCTGTTTCAAAAGAAAAGAATGAAGAGCTGGGGATGTGGCTCAGTAGGTAAGCACTCCTGGGTTCCAGCCTGGTCAGCAGACTGAAAGGCAGTTCAAGATGCAATTTTGTGCGTCTGTAAGATGCAGGGTGCCCAGAGTCTGAGCCTGTCGCTTAGGGCTGGGTAGAAACTGAACTGTTGGCTGGGCTCTAAGAAATATCACCTGCCCACTTTGGGCAAGATGTTTCCTTGCCTTTTTGGAGGATAACTGGAAGCTTTTCTTCTGTCTCCTGGGCCCCCGACTTATAATAAGCTGTGCTTTTGAAATTTAGCCTCCAGGACTGGCCTCACAACCAAAGTCCTATTAGGGGAGAAGCTGGTGGAAAGGGGAGCCCCTGACTGAGAGGTGCCTGTCTAAACAGCCACATGCACCTGTCAAATAAGAGAAATGCAGGCTGTGCCCCCTCCTGCTCACACACCTCAGTGAGCTCCCTTTGAATGTCTGCAGTGCATTCAGGGGGGGGCCTAACTGCAGATGTCATCGGGTGGAGGAGGAAAACAAACAGGACGTTGAAAAGAAGCTGATCTGTCAATTTGGTAAGGGGCTCGAGGGAGCTTAAGAGAAAAAAAAATAGCCCTGGGCTATATCTCTGGATGTTAGTCATCTTTGTCTCTTCTTGTCCCTTCTTGCTGGGGCTTGCAGGTTTGAGGCGGTGACAGGATTGGGAATGGGGACACAAGTAGGCTCAGGCCTGTAATCTAGAGAGGGACAAGGAAAGCAGCCAGGGAGGACAGACTTACGAAATGCTTCTGCACCCTGGTAGGGCTGCTTACAATGACATTGCCAAACAATGTGTGCTGCTGCTTGTCAAGACATCTTCCCGTCGACCAGCACGCACCTGCCCTGGCCAGCTGTGCCTCACCATGATGGACCGGACGTTTCCCCCAAACTGAACTCTAGCTGCTATCAACTGAGTAGCCCCAGACCATGTTGCTGTGGGGACAGGCTGGGTGCTCCCTGGAGAAGCTCTGCGCTCAGGACATTTGAGCACCAGTCGCGGCAGGAAGACAGGCTGCCCCCTTTTTCTCGAGAGCTCAGTCTCTTGCTGTCAGGTCTGGAGCTGAAGGCCTACATCTGCCCCTTATTCAGAGTTACATGCCCTCAGCCAAACCCCTCAAGTGCCCTTCTTGTTACTCTGGTTCTCATCCCAGCCTTCCCCGAGGTGGTGGCCCCAGGGCCTCTGGAGAATTGCCTCGAGGGGGACTCTTCCCCTGAGGATGCAGCAGATTCTGAGTCCTGTGCTGTGTGTAGAAGCAGCAGGACACACAGGTCACTAGGCAGGGACAGCAGAAGAGCAGCTAACTACTCAGTGACAATAGGCCCCTTCTCAGTGAGTTTGGTGCTTTGCAGGGCATGGTGCCTAGAATAAGCCCATTACCAAGCACAACAGCTGGTAAGATCTGGCACTAAAGCACGGACAGGGCTTAGTGGGTTGGGGCAGCACTGGGTGTGGTTTGAGGGAGGGCATCTGCAGGGCCTGGGAGGACTAAGTCAGGTCCCTGGTAATCACCCCTGGATGTTTCTGTAGCTTTTTAGGATGGTTAGAAAAAAATCCCCAGAGGAAACTAACACCTGCTCTCCATTACCCCTGAACCCTTGAAATACATCCTAGAATCACAAACATCTGCATGTTAATTTTTAAAAAAACATATCCATACAATGTTGAGTAAATGTAATGTATAAAAGAGGTCTGGGGAAAAACCCAGCACATTAAAACAGAGAATGCACATTGGAGTCAGAGAGGCCTGGATTATTCTTGTTCCTTGATCACCACCTGTCACCAGCCGTGGGTTAACAGACAAACTGGTTGGTGGTGCTGGGTGGGTATGGGTGTCGTCCCCACTGCCTGGCTGGAGAGGGCATGCTATATGCAGTTCTCCAGGGCAGCCTGTGGGAGCAACCATACCCCTGCCTACGAATTCTCCTGTTCCAGCTTTTGCTCTGCTCTAATGATGATTAACTCAGCAAATTCAAAGTATTTGGCATCTGGGAGGTTTCACTCCATTCCAAAGTGAGGCATGCATTTCCATGTCACTTGACCTCCTTGGGAAGGATCATTAAATGGAAATATTTCTCTATGTGGCTGGCTGGCTTCCTTCCTTCATTTTTTTTTGGAACGGTGTATTGAACCCAGAGTGCTTTTAGCATCCAGTCCTTTTTATTTTTCATTTTGAGACAGGTTTTTGCCTGGGGCTGAGGGTCTCACTAAGTTGCCCAGGCTGGCTTTGAACTTGTGATCCTCTTGCTTCAGCTCCTGAATGACTGAGGTTGCAAGTGGGTGCCACTGAGCCTGGCTTCATGTGGGTTTCAGTTGGGTGGTCAACTGTGGATCCATGTTCCCTTCCACGAGGACCCCGACTTTGAACAATGACAAGGTGTTGGATAATCGTCAGTGAAAACTGCAGTCTCAGAAAATTGGTAGATTTCCACTGCAGGTCTATACTAGGATGCAAGAGAGTGGAGATGGATCTGTTTAGCTCACCTGAGTTCTAGGCAGGACCAACTTGGGAAGCAGACACGGGGTGGGCTGCAGGTGCACAGCCTCACCTTCCTCAGGGGGACTTAAGGAGCCATAAGCATGAGGCTTAGTGGAGTTATGCCTCCACTCAAAGTGATGATAGGATATAATGGGGCGTTTGAGGGATGTTAATCCACACGATTTATAAATGTGCCAGTGTGTATGAGAGACTGGCTGGGATTTTCTACAAAGGGTAAACAGTTTAAAGAAAGATTTGTTTATTGGAGCTGTCAGTAAGGTGCCCCACAGCTGCGGCATTGGTGGAGCACCCTCTGGTGGCGGATCCTGGAACAATGGGCAGAATCCTCAGACCTCCCTAGTGGCACAAAGTGGGGTTACTAGAAACGCAGTCTCAGGCCCACCCCTGACCTGCTGCATCAGAATCCATCTCTGAAGAGGTACCTGGCAATGTGTGGCCCGCTGACGTTTGAGAAGTGCTTTGTAGAAATGGCTGGACGTGTGTTCTCGGAGGACAGGGCCTCCCTGTTGAGTTCTATAGCTCACATAAAGGACCTGGGGCCCTTAACCTGCACCCTGCTTCTCCAACTTATAAAAAACGTGTTTCTGAATCAGCGGTGGACCCAGGAACATGTGGTGTCACAAGTGCTGCCGGGGACTCTGATGAGGGTCATGCCCTGACTCGTCTGCCTGGCAGTCACTCAGAGAAGACTTCATTTTATCAAGAATGGAAAAGCAGTCGGGCTGCACAGTAAGAAGGTGCACATGGGCCCGAGCCATAAAGTGAGGAGCGCTGTGGGCACCCTGGCCCTGTGTCCTGTGCTGAGCAGGCCCGGCCCTGACTCAGGCTCAGTCCTGGGCAGCATCTCCCCCGCAGTAGGCCACTACCCGCCCACTCCAGCAGTAGCTCCTTCACTGATTTCGAGTGCCGAGGTTGCTCTCTTTCCTCAGCAAGGTTCAGGATAATCAAACCAAGACAGGTCTCAGAAAAAGGCCCTCTGATCCACAACCAGGGGCCGACTGTGTGGTCCTGACACGTGCGGTTGCGTCAAATTCCTGGCTTTCCTGGGGTGGGACTGTGGGTGGCAGTCCTGTGAGTGGCAGTCTTGTGACTTCCCGGGGCCATGGTCATAACCATTCTCTACAGCACTGTGGTCTCTGAGCTCTGAGCAGGGGCCCTGGGTACAACGGTCTTCATATTGAACCCAGTGCAGAGGAAGTTTAGACCTGGAGATATTAAAATTTCCATTTCAACTCCACTCCAGGTCCCTGATCCAGGCAAGGCTCAGTCTACCATGTCGTCATGCCTGAGATCTAGCTGGCTGCATCTTCCCATTTACCAGATGGGCAAGCAGAGGCCTGATGACTTGTCCAAGGTCAACTCTAGGGAGAGCTCATAGGCAGCACAGCCTGGACTGGAGGTGTTCTTTTTCTTTTTTGGGGGGAGTGGGTACCAGGGATTAAACTCAGGAGCATTCAACCACTGAGTCACATCCCCAGTCCTAGTTCATATTTTATTTAGAGACAGGGTCTCACTGAATTGCTTAGCACCTCGATGTTGCTGAGGCTGGCTTTGAACTTTCCATCCTCCTGCCTCAGCCTCCTGAGCCACTGGGATCACAGGTGTGCACCATTCCCCCCGGCCACAGACTAGAGGTTTCTATGTTGGCTTTCTTCAGTGACGGATTCTAAGAACCAACCACGGGAGGCTGGGGTGTAGCTCAGTGGTAGAGTACCTGCCTAGCAAGGGTCCAGGCCTTTGGTGCACTGGAAACTGGTTGTCTGTTTAACAATTAAGGGCCGGGAGCAGGGAGGGTTATGCACTCCTTTTCAACATCTCCAGGACTCAGGGGACTCTGATGGCTTTCTCCTTGTGACAGTCCTCACTGTTGGACGGAGAGAGTTGCCCTGGCCCAGACTCTGTTGGGTTTTCTGGCTGGCATTTAGGGAAGGCCTCTGTGCCTGTGGAAGGCTTTTCCTGGGCTGCACAGGCAAAGAGCCTTTTCTAGTAAGTTGTGTGCGCCTGGCCAATTCCCACATGCAGACTTCATCCTAGAACTTTCTGGTATTGAATCAGTTTCCATTCTTCTAAAGAAGACGCATTAATTAGCCTTGGCGGCTGAGTGGCCCCAGGCCAAGCCCACAGCTTAGGGCCCCTGGGTCTTTTGTTTGTGAATTAATTGACATATGTCGGGGAAGGAAGATCAGCTTTAAAGAAATGCACTTCTATTAGTGCCAGGCTCATTTACTTAGGAAACTTGGAAGGGCGGAATGTCTATGCCGGCAGGGTGCCCAGTGCTCTGGCTTTGGCCAGCAGGTGGGGAGGGCACGAAGCTCCCCTGTTCTGCACTCCTTCCCTCCCTCCTCATAGCCTTTTAAAGGTGCAGCCCTGATTCTATTAGACTATGAGATTACGAGAAAGATTATGAGGAAATGGGGGTGGGCGGGCTTCAGCAAGGAGAGGCAGGGTTCCAGGGTGGCCTCCTTTTCCCTCTAGAACGGCATGGACTTGGAGGGTCACCCATGTACCCCGTTCCCTCCCAGTGGCCCTACGTTCTCTCTTCCTCAGTGTCCCCCAGACCACAAATCCAAGAGACCCACAATATACTCCTCTGAAGCAGAGGGCCCTGGCCCTTTCTCAGAAGTGAAAGACCAAAAGGAGATCAGGAAAGAATGAGGCCGGAAAGGTGTTTAAACCCACGAGATGATGGTTTATATGAGCTTTCTGTCATCTTTTTCATTAATTATGGTCATTTCTATATATTTAAGGCCTCATGTGTTTATGTGTGTGTGTGTGTGTGTGTGCGTGTGTACATGCACACACACGAGAACTTAAAATTGTCTAGCACCTTGCAGTATGTTTCAAAATATCCTTGCATTTGTGATCTCACTGGTTTTTCCAATAATCACATAGATGGAGGGGTCAGAGTTTAGTACTCACAATATTACAGATGAGAATGTCAGGGCTCACAGAGGTGAGGTGCCTGGTACTACAACCTGAGCTTCTGCTTCAAACTCTGTCCTCCATAGCAAACTCCCTGCCTTTGATCTTGCTTTTTGCTCTAGTTAATCTTATCTGGTGCTGGGATTGGCTTCTTTCTACAAGCCCCGGAAGTCAAAGTCAAAGACATGCATGCTGAACAAATAGGGTTCTGACGGAAGGGCAGAATACTCACATTCCTTGGTGTTGGGGGGAGCCAGCAGGCAGGAGTAGCAGACCATGCCGTAGATGTTCCTGGGTCTGTTTTCCAACATGTAGTAGCTGCAGGAGGCAAGACAAGACAAAGCAAGCCAGGTGAGGTGGGCACACCAGAGCAGGCACTGACCACAACAGACCGGGGCCTCTTGGCAGGCCTGTGATCAAAGCCGGATATGAGACAGCACAGTGGGAATCGGGAGCCCTGCTGCACCAGCAGCCCTTTAAAAATATGTATTTATTTAGGTGTTAGGAGCCCTTTTCGCCTACTGAGTTTCCTTGGGGGTTTGTAGCGTATCTTGAAATGGTACATTCTTTTTCTGATATTGGGCCAGTATGGGCCTTTCTTGTAATCTCTGCCTCCTTTTAGTTCCTTTCCTGAGAGATTTGTTGTTGTTGTTGTTGTTGTTGTTGTTGTGTGTGTGTGTGTGTGTGTGCATGTGCATGAGATCACCATTTTCAATCAACATCGTCCACCAGAAATATCCACGTGTCCCCCATGGTAGGCCCTGGGTGTTTCACCACGGGTTAGATGCTCATGGAGGAGAGACATCCCCTCAACGGGTTCCCTTCTCTGAGCCTGTAGCCTGGTGGGATTTTTAGCAAAAGTGTCTCTGAGTCCCTGGAACCCCTGGAAGTCCCAGAGTACCCAAGTCACTGCTGAATGCCACTGAATGGAGATGGCCAGCAGAGGATGGCTGTTGGAGACAGAAGGACAGCTGCACTGTCCAGACAGATCAATGCAGATGGCTTTAAAGATACCTTGAAATGCAACCAGGTCACAATGCAACCAACCGTGCTTGACCCAAAACACCTAGACAGCTGCAAGTGTTCACACTGGGGTTGCACAGACTCCTAGACAAGGACAAGTTATTCACTGCTTAAAATCCTTTATCCTCAAATGATGCTCTGGTCACTACACCAGCCCCATGACCACACTGACTGGCATAGGTCCTCCTGCCACTGTGGCCTGTGTGCTGTGCAGGACTCGACTCTTCTGCCTCCCCGCCTCCTGCTAACACAGTGACAAGCTGACACTGCCCTCTCCTCCTAGGCACCCCGGCTTCTTTCCTCTGCAGCCCTGGCTCTCACCGTGGCCTGCGCCTGTGTTCCATAAACACTCAGGGGTGATCACGGAGCCATTTATCACATTGTGAGAAGTTGATTAAATAAAGTAGTGAGCTGTTGCCAACACTTTCCCTTATTACAATTCGAGAGATGGAAAATCCCTCTCTGCTACTAGATTTTTCAATGGTTGTCTCCTAATCTCTTTTTTATTAGCTTTGCACCACGAAGGCCCCCACGGATGGCTGTGGTAAGTGACACAGAGTACAGGAGGGCCAGGGGCGGGGGGGGGGAGGGCCAGGGGCGGGGGGCGGGGGGAGTCTGGGCTCTGGCCTTCATGAGCTTGGACCATTACCAGAAACATCATGGGCATAATTGCCTGCCCTTCCTCAACGCCTTTTATCCTCAGATCCCTGAGTGTCTTGTAAACATTAATTAACCACTCTCCAAACACTCCTCTGAGAAGCCACAGTGGCCAGCCTTACAGTTAAGCCTTATGGAAAAAGCTTCTTCGAAACACATCCTGTGCCCTCTCTGGAGGCCATCTTTGTGAAGCAGGGCGCTGTGGGGACCAACACTGCATCTGCCCAGGGGTTCCTATCTGCCATGTGGCCTCATGAAGGTGACAGATGCCAGGTTGGCCAGGCAGCCCCACCTGCAGCTTTCCAATACCAGGTCCAGCGTACCACTTCTGGGAAACAGCTGTTAGGACTTCCTCCTCTGCCTCTTCCTCCCTATCAGGATTGGGTGCAGGAGGCAAGCCTTGTTCACATTTGCATTTCTGGCACTTTGTGCTAGGTACTCAGTTTGGAGAGCTCTCGATAAATATGGGAAGGACAAGTTAATCAATGACACCCAGATCTTCTCCATAGAAGTTCCAAGGGCTGAGTTAAACAGAAGCCCCCAAGAATGTTCCTGAGCTCTCCCCCCTTTCTGAGCAGGAGAACCACAGCCTTGCCCATCCTGTTACATACTGTTCAGGGCTCAGTCTTAGATAAAGCTCCAAAATCACAAAGGTAGGTGGGGCATGCACTGGGGCACTTGCATTTTGAGCATCTAGGGAGCGGCTGCATCTGTTGTGGCCTTTTTCAGGGTGTGTGTTGGGGTTGGGGTTCCTTTCTAATTCCCACGGGGGCTCTGGATGGCTCTATGCTCCTGCACTGACCCTGAACGTGCATTTGAACTCATCTGTGGGATGCTGTAAGTAATTTAGTGAAGGAGCCATTTTGAAAGCCTGTGACATTTTGAAACATAGGTTGGCTCCAGGAAACTGTCAGAAAGCTCCACTGCTTCACCTGGCACAAGAGTTAAATACCTTGTGGCCAGGTGCAGTGGCACATGCCTCTAATCTGAGTGCCTGGGGAGGCCAAGAAAGGAGGATTGCAAGTTCAAGGCCAGCCTCAGCAATGGTGAGGTGCTAAGCAACTCAGTGAGACCCTGTCTCTAAATAAAATACAAAATAGGGCTGGGGATGTGGCTCAGTGGTTGAGTGCCCCTGAGTTCCAATACTTGGTACACACACACAAAAATATCTTGCAATAAAGAGAAGCCACTTTTATCAGCAAGCGCATATTGCTTCCTGTAGAGAATACTTCTAAATGTTAGGTTTTTCTCTTAGGACAAACCTGAACTCCTCATGGTATAGTATAACCTCTATCTCTCACTCAGGGCTAGATACGAATGGAAACAGCCATCTGATAGAATTTCATCAATTTGAAGTTGAGTGTTCCCTTAGGGATCTGTGACCCACCAGGGTGTCAAGTTCTTCCTTATGGAAAGGCCAGTTTCCTACTCTTTGACCCGTATTTTGATTTTCCCCTGTATCTACTGGGCTTACAATGGGCTGATATCCTGCTGAGTCCATTCTAAGTTAAAAACATTGTTAATTTGAAAATACATTTATGTAACTAACTTATTATATACATCCTAGCCTAGCCCATCTGGGAGCACTTACATCAGCTTACGGTTAGGCAAAATCATCTCACACAAAGCCTATTTTATAATGAGGTGTTTACTATCCATGTTATGTACTGAGTGCTATACTGAGAATGAAACACAGGAGTACTCACCCTTAACTTAAGGTTCACGTACGTTAAATGTGGTTCCTACTGAATGCATATTGCCTTTGCACCATTGGAAAGTTCAAAAAAAAAAATTGAACCTTTATAAGTTGGGGTGGCCTGTAATTCTTTTTTTCTTTTACTTCCCTGTTCTTTCTGGATCCATTAAGTTGTATAACTCCGGCCAAGATTCAGTTTTAATGGGGTCTCTAGAATCTTCTATCCAGAGAGTGACTTCCTCCAGGTCAATAGATACAGATTTCCCCTGAAGAGTCTCCTTTCTCATTACCCTTAAGCTTGCAATGGATGAGCCCTGAGATGTTCAATTTCCCTCCAACATGTTGGCAGGTAGGGCCAGTCTCTGTGTCCTTCTCCAGGCACCAGCTCTGTAGAGTGTCCTATTGGAAGGGAATGGTGTGGCGTGGTGCGGAGCCTCAGGAGTTCCTCTGGGGGGAGGTAGAGACGCTGGGGAGGTTGTGAAAGCTAACCTCTCCCTTGCCTCCTGTTTTGGTTCCTGGTCCTCCCACACACAACCTTTCCCAACAGGAAAGCCCCATGGGCTGCTCATTGTTCAGTGAGTGTCTCGGCCACATTCAGATACAAAGGGGAGGCTGCAAAGAACGAGGAGCCGGCACCTGCCAAACCACAAGGGAGGGGAGAGGGCCAAAGCTGCCTTGGTGTTAGAAAGACAAATAGGAGGTAATCTGCATCCGCAGCCCAATAACCACAGGGATTCGGGAATGAAAACCGCCTTTCATCGAGCTAATAATGCCAACTTGCCAAAATGCTTTGTAATCCTCCTCTGGGACATAGCATGAGAGCTTCATTTTGTTCTCTAACTCAACAGCATCTAATAGGAAGCCAGAGCCCTTCAGGGTCCTGCCCCAGTCAAGCCTCATCAGTGGTGGGGGCATCAGCCACCATGAGGACACTGGAGACCGGAGGTAAAGGGGGGCCTTCTGTTTTGGTGGCCTTGGGGCTGGTAGGGATTGCTTTAAACAGACATATCCCATTGCAGAGCCAAACAGGGGACTGACTGAGAAGTTTTTGCATCCATAGGGCAAACCTAAACTCACAGAGATGTGTTTTGAGATGTGTCTCCATGCAGGAGCGCCCTCCCTCTGTGGGTGCTCCGGCCTTGATCTGTCCTGGGTGCTGAAGATCAAGTGTGACTAAGCAGGGTATTGCTGCCACGGAGCAAGGAGAGAGGCACTCATGATTCCAGAGCTGGAAAAAAAACTTTCCAAAGTACATGATATCCCCCGCTACTTCCACAGATGGCCATCCACGTCTGTTTGACCCCGTCTAGAGGCGGGGAACTCACCACTCTTTCATTGTGGAACTTCTTTAGTGATTGGATACTTTCTGGTAAGTGTTAGCACCAAGCAAATTGTCTTCACGGCTTACAGAGTCTTCTGAGTGCCAGGCTGGCACCAGCCTATGGGACGGGGTATTTACCAGGCTGGCCCCAGGCTTGTCCTGTCTGGTTAGAATGTTTCTGTGGTTCTAAGTGAAAATGAAACAGATTGCTCCACGCACCTACTTCTGCTCCTTTGAGATCATCTGGAACAAAGTCACAGCTGAATTCCACAGCCTACTGAGGCGATGCGGCCACAAGACTGACCAAGTCGGAGCCAGCAGTGCAAGTCACTCAGCTCTGCCAACCATCCTTTTAACCCCTCTGCAAAGCTGATTCTGGGAGCCCGTCCAGACCAGAGGCTGTAGCACCATCAATGGGTGGATGGCTTCCAAGTCCTGAGCTCCGCCTGGATCTTGCCCTGAGCACCACACCCTCTACCATCTGTGTTGGAGAGCTTGGTTTAGATGCCCACAGCACCTCAGATTTCACAAGACAGTCTCCACCTGCCTCTACCTTCCCATAAGGACTTCTTCCTATTGTTATGCATTGGAGCAATGACTCTATGGTCCACCTCACCGGCCAAGGGCAGACATCCAAGAGTCCTCTTCCTGTCGCGTGCCCTCTGTCTGTAACTAGGGTCAGTGCTGTCTGCTGGCCAGCACTCAGCTCCGCCCCAGTTCTCATCAGTTCCACCTTGACCCTGCCCTGGGCTCCAGGCTCTCCCCTCAGCTGCCTTCCTACCACTACTAATGTACAGCCCTTTCCTGTCCCGCTCCAGCGAGGCAATCTGCATAGTGACCTGCATCAGCTGCAAGCTGAAGACCCAAATCTTCAGTGCTGGTTTCCAGAGCTCTTTCCATCTGGTCCTCACCCACCGCTGGCTTCTCCACGTCTCACGTGTGCACCTCTTGCTCTGCCACACGAACCCAATCAGACCCTAGACCCTTTGAACTTGGGCTTCAGTCTCCACTAGGAAAGCTCTGCCCTGTTTCTCAGCCTGACCACCTCCCTCCCACCTCCAGAAGCCTAAGACCCCTATGATCCCACTGCTTCCATGGGCTTCTAGAACATTCTGTGTGTGCCTCACTAAACGGTGCTGTGGTTGCTGATTTCCTTGTTTCAGTCCTCCACTGAGGAGAGAGGAAGCATGTCTCCCCTCATCTCACTGATGCCGGTCTAGTCGCTTTAGTTGACAGGTTTATGAAGACAAACACTGGAGCTGCCACATTAACTCACGCATGCCTGGTCAGGTACTCACACTGGGAAGCCTTCAGAATAAATCTAGGTTTTGCAAAGGTGAACATGATAAGGTCTGCAATACTGTTCTCTACTTAATTCCTGGGAGCTCTGCATGTCTTTTGTGAATCATGTATTTGCACCAATAAAATCAATGAATGAATCAATCAAGATAAAACTCTAGGAAGCATGTTAATTATCAGAGACTGATTCTCGCCATCTAATGTCAAGATCCTACTGAATTTCTGTCATACAGAGGCAAGCAGAGTGTGTGCAGAGAGCAGTCCAAATGGATATCTGTGCAGTTGGGTGGGAATGCTTTGATTCTGATTCTTCTAATACCTATGTTCCTTTTGGAGGAGTTGCTCTGCAGCACAATAATCACAAAAACTGAATTAAAAGCACCCAGCTAAAAAACTTTATTTTTATCATATTTTCTAAGAGAATAGTCTAATATCCTCTCAGTTTTTTGTTATCTGCTTTTGTTTGCATATTGGAAAATAAGGTTCTGTGTCAGGTACCTAACCTCCTGCTTTATAGATTCACTTGAAAAATATGTTTGATTCACTTTGTGTTGGGGACATTGGCATAGGGTTGTCCAGCCAGTATTTGGACAGCTGATTCTATATTTGGGGAGCTAAGCCTAAGCCAGAGAGACAAAATACTGGAGGGTGGAAGGGGAATCGTCACCAACAGATAGACAGAGGTGGAAGCCACAGATGGGCATGCTTCTTAGTAACAAAATTTGAATGAGGTTATTTGGGGTGAGTTTAAACCATATCTCCTCATGGTAAAGAGTTAATTTGCTTTCCATCTGTCTTGAAGTTGGTGGGTCTTCCTACTGTGTATGTCCTTCTTATTGCTAATTCTCCATGTCCTCTTTTGGATACATCTTCTTATTTTCTTCCTCCTCTTAAATTGATACATGTCCAGGGAGACATCTATGCAAGCACATTGTGAAGTGAAGTGTGCTATTCAAAACACCTGTCTTGTTACCATCACCTCCATCATCACTTCCATGATTATAACTATCACCTCCACCAACACTTCCACCTGCACCATCACTGCCATTACCACCACCACCACCATCACTTTCCTCATCACCTCCATCCATCACTATTATCATCACTTCCATCACCACCTGCACCGTCATGCCCATCATCATCACCACCACCTCCATCATCACCTCCGTGACTCCATGATCATCATTATCACCTCCATCACCACTTCCAACTGCACCACCACCACCACCACCATCACTTTCCTGACCACCCGCGTCATCATTATCATCTCCTCCATCACCACCTGCACCACCTCCATCAGGCAGGCCCTGCTTTTCTGCCGTCCTTGAAAAGCATTATGTTTTGTGGCCACTAGAGGGAGCAGCAGCAACAGCTGCGGTTTAGCATGCTGGGTGTCAAGGTGGTTATGTTTCTGGTCCTAGGCAGAATTTACTAATGGGTCCTCCCTGGAAAACAGGAAGATTAAATCTTTCTGTCTTTTAGGCTAATTGCATTTTCACTTTTTGGGGAAGACTTTTGATACATAACATAATTGCGGTGGAATTACAGGCATCATCTGACTCAAACATTTTTTATGAGTAGTTTTTACCCCTCAGGTTTTCCAGAATATTAACAAGAATACTTTCACGTAGAATATTTTTTTTTTCTTTCAGAAGGTTTTACATGTGTTGTCTTGTTGTAACTGTTCAGCAAATTTGTTTCACTTGGGCAGTCAGAAGATGCACGATGATGAGTGTCCACGTAAGAGGTGTGGACAGGGCACCTGGTGACAGGACTCACCATCCTGGATGCTGCCCTTGTGGAATGGGATGAGGGGCAGGCATGACACTGCTCTAAGGTCTCCGGTGCCCATGGGCCTTGTCAAAGGGTCTGTGGCCCTATGCCATCACTGTTCAGGGGTCAGCCCTGCAGGGTCCCCACTCACCCAGGGAGACATGGCCCACACTCGGCGTCGTTTTCCATGTCCCCCGGTGTGAGCACGGTGGCCCGGAAGAAGCCCTCGCAGTCTTTGTGGCGTCTGCAGATCTGGTAGCCTCCTTTGGAAAACTTCTCTGCTGGGCAGGGCACGCAGCCGTAGTCCTCATCTTTGGTGCCGTAGCCACAGGACTGGCCAAGGAAGCGGACAGAGGACATGGGTCAGCACAGCAGCAAGGCACTGACACACCAGCTTTTCCCAGATGCTGCTTTTGCTGTCCTCAGCCACCTGTCTCATCCTAATTGCAAAACCTCATCTCCTGGCTCCAGCTCTGAGCTCACTCCCTCCCCTCTGGGCTTGGGTCTCAGATGCTGCTCCTCTTCTGAGGTCCCTGAAACAGATTCCACTGGCTCCTGGAATGTCCCATGAGTAGACCAGCCCTGGGAGTCCAACTTTTCTCAGCACACTACAAGAACCCGGGGACTGAAAGCCTAGATGATTCTTAGCGCTTCACAGAGAATCACGCTCAGCTTCCCAGAGGAGGGAGATGCGTCGCATTTCAGTCACGCTTCTGACACCTCTTTAATCAGGGCACAATCGGAAAGCCATTCTCTAGAAAAATGAAGAACTCCTGAGAAACCCGTTGACGTGTGCTCAGCAGGAAAGCACATCTTGGGCTCATGACAGCTCACGCCACTCGGTCTCAATGTCCAGCGGCCACAGGTGACTGTCCTGATTTACCCTGCACACCTCTCACACCACAATGCCAGCTCAGGACGTCGGGACCATGGCAGCAAGCCCCCGGGCTTGTCCTTACCATGTATGGCTCCTCCCCTGGCCCACAGGGGGGACACTGGTGGCACAGCCCCGTGGTCTGGTTGTAGTACTCATTCTCGCCACAGTTGGAGTACTCTGCTCTGGCTGAGCACATCAGGGACACCTGCCACAAAAGGGGGGTCGTTTTAGGCTCCACGCCTCCTTGAGGTACATCCCTAATCAGGGTCGGCATTCAGAGGGCTTGGGGCTGGTTTGGGAAGGAAGTGCCCTGGTGGTGCTGGGTGCTCAGTCCAGAAGAGGGCCAAGCTAGTGAGCGGTCCCCCGGTGCTCAGTCTGCGGGCTGTCAGCAGCTGGGCCTGGCCACCCCTGCCTCCTGCCAGCAGATGCCCACCCACAGCCATCTCCTCCTCACCCTGCTGTCTAAGCCCAGCCCCTCACTAAGGCTGCTCTAGATTCTCATCACCCATGAATCTTGGATTCTCTCCAAGGCCCAGGATGAGGGGGCCTCCTGTCCTGAGCCTAAACAGTGGGGCTCCTCCACACAGTGACGTTTTAGTCACTTGTTGGCCCACCCTCATCCCCAGGAGGAGTGCTGGAAGGAAGGATCTTCTGGATCTTTCTCAGCTGCAGGGCCCACAAGTGTGGACCCATCACACAGGCCCAAGGCTGCGGAGAGCACAACACCAACAAGCCCTGGACGTCATCTCTACCCGTGAGCCCTACAAAGGGAGCCGCCAATCACACCAGTGAGCACAGATGGTGTTTGGTGCTTGGCAGGCCTGATCCTAGTTCACCCTCAGACAAACCCCAGGAAAGAGGGGCTGCGGCCATTATGCCCACTTTACAGCTGGGGAAATGGAGACCCCGGAGGCTGCTGGGAAACTGGCCAGGGAGGGGGGGGACCTCCTTCATCCTGAGGATGCAGTGTGAGCAGGTGCTCAGAGCCACTTACCACCAGGACAGGGAGCCAGGGCGTCCACCTAGAGTCCTCCTCGTGGGCCATGCTCTCCCGGGAGTTCACCTGAAAGACACGCTCCGTCAGCACCTCTGGGTGCCGCAGTGGCCCCCAGCCTCTCTCCAGCTGCCTTTGTCGTGCCTCACTGGACATACCGGAAGGCGCCTTCCAGCAGACAGCGTGGACCCCCCTAGAGAAAAGGCAGACTTTAAGCTGTGTCCCAGCCCCATGTCCCTTGGGCTGACTCTGTGGCCCTCAGCTGCATCCCAACCATGCCCCCAAAGAGCCCTTGAGACAGGGCTGGAGCATGCTGAGGGCCTGCTCTTACACCTGGGGCGGGGACCAGTGTCTGATGTGCTCACAGAGCCTCAGGCAAGCTGGCCTTACCCCAGCTTAAAGCTCGGGGTGCTCCAGGCTTGATCCCCAGACTCCAGGGCAGCAGGAGGACCCCTGGAGATGCTGCTGGGTACCAGCGTCTGGTCTGTCCCCTGCCTCTGCTCTCCCAGCCCCATGGAGGGTCTTTCTTTTCTCTGTGAAGCATGGGTCATTGATCAAAGTGGTTGAGTCAGAGAATTGTAGTAGAAGTCCAACCATCTCACTGTAAGGTTAAGACAACTGAAGGCCAGAGAGGTTGAGTGACTTGCCCACGGTTACACAGCTACTTAAAGGAAGGAGGATGGTTATAGCTGGGGTTCACGTGCTTTTCAGGTGAACTGTTGCAGTAATGCATGGCTTTGTAGGAGGAGGTGTTGTTTTAATTGTTCATTTTATGAAGGGGGGACTTGGGTCTCTAACTTAAAGCAATTTTACCTGGGAGTTTGGGTATTAATTAGCCCGGCTGTACCAAGAGAGATGATTTTCTCATGTGTGTGTGCCTAAATTCCCCAGCTGCCACTTTGGTCACTGAGTTGACACTGGGGGTGAGTTAGTGACATAACAGCATGCCCTACTGTAGATGCTGAGGAATCTTCTAGAATCCGGTACTGACACAGACCAGGAGTCAAACTGGGCCTTGGGAATACCCCTGCCAAGACCTTCCCGCCTCCTGTCCTTATCACGGGTCATGGAAATCAATAATCACCCATCCCACACAAGAAAATCCTGTGCAGGGAGCTGGGGATGATGGCAAATGGGAAACCATTGTTCTCTCCTCCTCCCTCCCTCCTTTCCTTCCTTCCTTCCTCTCTCTCTCTCTCTCTCTCTCTCCTCTTCCTTCCTAGCCTTGAACTTTGTCTCTATAACAACCCAAAGGCATTAAGAAGAGAAGCAGTCAAGCGATTATGTATCGTAAATAAAGAGATCAAGCTGGAGAATGAGGGAGAGCTGTGTGAAGAGTCAGGGAACGGCAGAGAGCCACAGAAGACCAGTTATCGGGGTGGGGCAGGGGGCATTGCTCCTGAGAAGAATAAAACTCCCTGAGTGGTCCCCCCCAGACTTGAAGCCTCGCTCCGTGAGATTTTTGGAGAATGCACATTTAGGAGAAGCACGTAAGGCCTAGATATATACAGAGAGGTTGGTGAGGGGTCACATCTGATGCACTGGAGCAGCCCCACCCTCCAGCCTCAGCTGCCCTCCGTAGCACCCCAGGAAGATGCTAGTCTAGTGTCCTGTCCCACCAAATCCTCCACTCCTGGAAAATCGGGGTGGCTAAAGTCCAGATGGGGCTTACTTATCATTGCAATAGACAAAGAACCAACAAAATAATCCACCGTCCCCTATTTTCCCGGAGCCCGTTCCATTGTTGAGTGACAATCACACAGAAGATGCTCCTGTGACTGGACTTGTAAAGGTTTCCATATGCGTTAAAATGGGTCTGGTGGCACCCACAGACCTTCCAACAAAGACTTTCTGGCAGGAGGTGAGACAGTGTGGAGGTGACGGAAGACTGAGGTTCAGAGTGAAAGGTTCAGTAGAGTATGTGTCAACTTTGTGATGAGAAAAAGACCCTAGACACATTCCACTCTGGGGAAAAGTGTGCCTTCCTGATTCTGTAAGAGTGGCTGGGAGAGGATGATCCCTCCGGAGCCTGATCAGAGTCACTGGCAAAGCTCTCTGGGCCAGGCCTGGTCTTCCCCGGGCTCTGGCTGCCTGGTACTCAGCTACTCACTCAGTACCATCATGGTCTTGGGGAAGGGTTATGTTTCTGGACTTTCTTGACGACTTTAAGGACTGCCTTTCCCATGACCTAGCACTCTGCTGGGCACCTTGGTGCTCAGTGTACGTTTGAAAAGGCCTGACTGGACTAAGCCAAGATGAAAGCACCCGGGCAGCCCCCCCAGTCATGAACGTGCCGGGTGTTTTCCTTCTAGCAAGGAGCAAGCTGGGGCAGGCAGCAGAGGAGGCCCCAGGCTGCTGCAGCCCGGCTCCTCGGGGAGGAGCAGGGATGGCAAAGGCCGGAAGGGAGTCTGCGCCCTGGGACCCACAGCCCTGGCCTTGCCTCAGGACGGTGGGGTGAGCCGAAGTGGGTTTCCCTGGTCTGTGGACAGGGCCAGGGGCTCTCTGCTGCTCTGGAGGCTTTCAAGAGCCGTATTAGACGTTTTAATTTCATTGACTTCTAATCACAGCTGAGGAGCCTTGGAGGGTTTCCCTGAGAAACTGAGAAGGGCCAGGTCTGGTGCACCTTAATGTTAACGAGGAGCATTTACCGTAAGGCTCATTAAAGATATCCTGTAGATCCAAGAGCCAGAAGTAAAACAAATAAACAGATACACGAAGCCAAACAGAAAGTGAACGGAAGAACAGGAAGTGGCTATGCACCCCTTGTGATGCTTGCTGTCTGGGAGGCTGAGGCAGGTGGATGGCCAGCATGAAGCCAGTGGGGCCACACAGCCAGACCCTGCCTAAATAAATAGATAGATAGATAGATAGATAGATAGATAGAAATAGTCAGCAGCATTTGCATTATTGTGACCTTGGGGAATCCCCTGACTCCTGCCTTGCTGCAAAGTCTCTGAACTGAACTGAGCTAAGGGAGCCCCCTCTGGCCAGAGAGCCCCATGATTGTGACAGTGAAGAGGAATGGGGGGAGCACCAAAGTGTCCCTCCCTACCCATGTGCAGACAAGGCTGACCCTGAACTTGGGCAGCCGAGCAGCTCATGAACGATCGGTTTCAGGATCCTGCAGACTCCTTCCACTGGTCTACCTGCGGCCCACGGCTCTCTGTCCGAGTCTGGCTGCACCTTTGCTTCTGGTGCAGGACAATAGCTTCATGAAAAGATGGAGACCCCAGGACCAGGCAGAGCAGGGAGCCACATACCTACATCCACCCTGGATGGGAAAGGCCGGCTGGCCTTGCCTGGCTGCTTCCCCTCCCTCCCACCCCTCTAGACCGTCTTGCTTTTGATTGTTCCCTCCTCATGATGTCCACGGAGGGTGACAACCCAACCATAACACTGCCGTGTGGGACCAACCCAGCCCCTGCTCTGGCTTAGCCCTCACCCCCAGGTGAGGTGGGCTCCATCATTCTCCCCACTTTTATAGATTAGGAAACTGAGGCCAAATACATGCTTAACATGTTTCTCGTCACTCCCCATTTCCCCGACTAGGTTGGCAACGCTACATCAGGGTCAGCGGGAAGAAGAAACTGGGACTATAGGCCCCATTTGGAGAGTTTTTTGCTGCTGGAATTATGGTCTGCCTAGTTCCCCTGGGGTCCTGTGGGCTGGGTGCGCTTCTCTGCTGTCTCTGCCCTCAGCCCAGACTGTCAAGTTCTGCCCCAAGGCTTCCCCATGACTCCTCCCTTCTGAGAGGTCTCTGGCCAACACCAAACAGTCTGACCTCCTGAAATGTGGGCCAGGGAGGTGGTCTGGGCACAGCCACATCTGTGACAAAGTGTTCAAGTTCATCAGGGAACTTCCTTCCTGTCTTCTCCTTCCTGTAGAATTGAGGCAGAAACGCAAACCCAGGAACTACCCCACCGCCCCCTCATGCACAAAGCTTTGCTCATAACCTGCCATCATTCAGGACCCAACAGCACAACAGTTCAAAACTTACTTAGGCCCCAAATAAGGGGTTGGGCATCTCTTAAGAAATCTCTCCCCGGGGCCTCAGGTTCACTGGTAAACATTCTCTGAAACCCGTGCTTGCCACAGGGCAGGATGGTCCCAGGTGGCTCACAGGGCCACAGCCCTTGGGAGGCTTGTGGTTTGTCAACCTGGAGGGCTGGGGTTGACATCTCTTAACTCTAGGTGTTGTCTCATCCATTCAAAACATTTATGAAGTGCCTCCACCCTGGCCACGCTCTGGCCATGGGTGGGGCCAGCTTCTGCCTTCCAGGGGATTAAGAGATTGGTAGGGTGCGGGCCACATGGTCACCCACAGTTTCGGGGCTGGAGGTCCAAGATGCTCTGGGACCCACAGGATGGGCGCTGTGGTGCTGTTTGCTCACTCCTGAGGTGTAAATATTTCTCTGTGCTCTTTCAGCTTCTGACTGAGGCTTCCTTAGGGGTCCTGGATAGGGAACCAGGGCTCTGCCACCCTGGGCACCGAATCCATTCTTGGGGAGAGCAGGACAGGTCGAGACCAGACACCTAAGTCCTGAAGGGCAGGTAAAAACTAGCTGGGAGAGTGTACAAAGTTATCCCAGGAAGAGGTAGTACATCCAACGGCCCAACATGAGGGAGCCTGGGTCCCTTAGGATCCCTGGGCTGAGTGCTGAGTGTGAGGTCAGACAGGGCAGGGCTCATGTAAAGGCCGTGCATATGTGGAGTAGGAGTGGCAGGCCAGCTCTCCACTGTGGGGAGAGAGAAGGACGCCGTCAAGCTTTGGTGATCATGATCCACGGAGGAAGTATGTCAGAATGAAACCCAACGCTCATGCACATGCATGTACACATGCAGCTATCACACGTCTGAGACAAAGTTACTTGTACTTACTGAGCACAATGGGCTCTGTTACAGTCTATCCTATTATTTATTTTGGTACCAACCTAGGGGTACTTAAGCACTCAGCCACATCCCCAGCCCTTATTATTTTTTATGACCATGCTGAGTTGCTGAGGCTAGCTTTGCTCTTGCCATCCTCCTGCCTCGGCCTTCTGAATTGCTGGGGTTATGGGTATACAACC